ATATATATATATATAAAATAAACAATAATACAATAAAATAAAAATCAACATTGTCCGATGCAATAAAAAGTTGTCAAAAATTTGATCGTGTGAACTGTACTTAAGACAACATTCTCCTGAAATGAGTAAAGCTAACTTAGCACCGCGCAAGGAAAGGCGTTCATTTTTATGTGAACTGATACAAACTTGCATTGAACGTTTTCTAATCAAAACCTAGCGGCAAAACCAAAATGATGATACTTTTTCACTTATTTAGCTCATAGAAGGAATAGTTCGCACTTTTGCCAACAAGGGGCATCTTGAATTCGGATGTAGGATCATAAACAGAGCATAGTAGTGGAAAATAGTATCGCTATAGTTTCAGTAGTTTTTGAGCCTTTAACCGTAAACAAAAATATCCACAAATAAACAGACCAACCTTGAGCTTTATATTTGATATGCTGGGTGGTCGATTTGTCTACTCATAGTAAATTCCAAGCTTGTGTTCTGGAGTTCAATCCCCATCAAAGACACAGTCTAGCAAAAACCATCATCATCATCATCCCGGGTGAATGGGATTCATTAAGTAGACTCTGAATTAAAACACGGAGATGAAGTTCCGTTTGGCGGATAACATTACAAAAATTCGACGCTACTGCTACCGAGCTGTACCGCCCTTAGGGTTATCCACAAGTTTGGAGAGAGTGGATTTGCTGTTTACTAAACGAGTGGACCAAATTTCAAAAGCCCAGGTGAAGCCGAGAAGCAGTAAACGAAAACAGCATTCCGAGTGTTTGACAATCGTCAGCATAGGACGCTAGGCAACGGCAGATCTTCCAAGGGAACTCTGACCAAGAGCGACCCCATTTTCTTAACCACAGGCCTTGCAGTTTCGTCCTGCGAAAATGGGCCGACGCTCATAAATATATTTAAATCTAAACCCAGCGTCAAAATATAACGTTTAATATTAATTATTAATTCCCCCCCCCAATCATTTGCTATGATGAATAGGTCTTCGTATTTCCTTCTGTTTTAAATTCAAATCGTCAATACTCTTCGACCTTTGAACTATGACTATTTTATTTCCAAATCTGTGCTATTGGTGTGCGCCGATTGCTTTGTAAATTATACATCTATACTAGGGGTCAGGAACCTATGGCTCGCTAGCCAGATGTGGCTCTATTGATGGCTGAATCTGGCTCGCAGACAAATGTTCGATTAAAAAAAAAGGCACATTAATAGTAATAAATACTCATTATTGATTAGCAACAGCATAACAATGTTATTAAAAAGAATCCAGAGACACCATTATTGCATTTTTAGTGTTGACATTACACAAAATGCACACATTTATTTGAATTTTAAGTTTTAAGCATAATGTATTGCTCTCACAGAATTACTTTTTAAAATATGTGGTGTCCATGGCTCTCTCAGACAAAAAGGTTCCCGACCCCTTTTCTATATATTCGTCCTTTCTTTTATTGCGCTTAGTCAGTTTGAGACTCGAACGCGATATGTGACTTTCCGAGAAGTAGGATTCTTCATTTATAAATCAAATACTTTCGTAGATAAAGCAGAGAACTCCTGTTTACGACCCTCAGAATATGGTTTTTGAACATTATTTAAACTTCCCAGGGATGCTCCAATTCATCTGCCTACAGTACGCTCGTACAGTCGTTTAAATTGTGATAAAGGTGAGTACAATTGACGCACTGTTTCATTTTACGATATCGATATACTTTTCAATGAAAACATGTTATATTTGGAAAGATTGCTGTAGAGTGAAGTCGCGAAAGTCGAAGCGAAAAGTGGCGCGGGACGACTGTATATATATATATATATATATATATATTGATTTGACCTAGCAACGAGACTGAAACCTTTGAACAGCTGCGCAACTGCAAAATTTTTAAGACAAAATCAATGGTTTAGAAGGAATGCAATGGCTCAGTCCTTTTGCTTCGAGTTTTCCCATGTCTTGTTAAAAATAAAAATCATATAAGATCACACTCTTTTTACTTCCAAGAATGATAACATATTCAGTTTCGGTTGTAGTTGTCAAGACTTGTACAATTAAACCTATGCAGAGATTGGAGATATTCATAAACTATTGCGCTGAGGTGAATAGAACGTTTTAACTGTACCAAGTTAATTCATGGTGGAATTATCTTTAGAGGTACGAACATAATTATATTTTCATAAAATTTCATTCTTTCTGTTTTTCTTTCTCTATTTGTTGTTTTTTTCTCTCATGGTCGATTAAACAAAAAAATAATCTCTTTCTCGGTTTATCCTTTTAGGGTTTCTGTTACTCTAATTTCATTTCCTATTGGTAGATCTGGTCGTATTTCCCCCACGTAAATATTATATTATCTACTATATTGCTACTTTCAGAATTTGAAGACACCATGCTAAAAATCAATATTTATCTCATTGGACTCGCAATATGTCTGTTGTTAAAGACAAAGCCAGTTTTGATGATTGCTGCAAAGGGCGACCTCAACTTCCTTCTCGTTGGGAAAACCGGAAGTGGCAAAAGTGCAACCGGAAATACCATTTTGGGTGAAAGGATGTTTGGTACGTCATCAGGATTAAATTCTTTTACGAAAGACGTCACGGGCTTTCGGTCTTTTCACGACGGTCGAGTGCTTACAGTCGTTGATAGTCCTGGTGTTGTAGACACTGAGCTAAGCCCCACAGAATATTTACAAGTATACTTTGATCATATGAGTAAAGCTATGCAAGTTGGGGTTTACGGATACCACGCAATCCTTGTTGTTGTTCGCTGTGGTTTTCGATTCACAATGGAAGATGAAATAAACCTTCATACTCTGAGCAATTGTTTTGGTGAGGAATATTTCAAAAGGTATGGGGTTATCGTGGCAACATTCGGAGACATGTATTATCCTGAAGACAATAACGGCCAATCATTCTCAGATTGGATACATACACAAGGAGTTCTTGAGAAAATTAAGAATAAATTCGGCGGTCGTGTTGTTTTGTTCAATAACAAAATTAAAGATGAGTCAAAGAGAAAGGCCCAAGTTGACCATTTGATACACATTGTTGACCAACTCATTGTCCTGAATTCCCAGTACACTCGTGAGCACTTCCATTTAGCACGATTTCAACGTGACAGATGTTTAGTGGAGTCCAAACTTCCTGGGATCGAGTTGGAGGTCAAGAAAGAGATTGATCTTGTTATCCATAAGCTAACCGATATTAAGTCACATCACCCGACGACACAGCTGAGTCAATTACCTGACCTTAAAACCATCTTAGCTAATCTGTTGACAAAGTTAAAGGAGCGAGACATGAACACAGGTGTGCTAAATACCGTTATGGCTGGAATCCGGGACATTGATGAGCACATTGAACGGGAAATCGACTCTTTAAAGAGACAACTGCAAGGAAATGAGTTGTAGCAACACAGAAGCGGTGGGCTGATAAGCAGTGTGATTGAGTCTGCGAAATCTGTACTGTCATGGCTGTTTAACTTAGTAAAACGTTACGTGTTTTGGATGGAACCAGATGAATGGGATCGACCCAGGCTAAACTAAGTAACAAGTCTCTGTAAGAATGAAGATTACATGTGGATAATTACACACCAATACCATTTTATTTTGATCACTTCCGTCATTGTGTTTTCTTTTCTTTTAACTTCAAAGAAATGAAAAAAAAAATATATTATTTATTAAACATCTAATTTTTTCAAAGACGTATTTTACTCTGAATTTTTTGTTATTAATAGAAGTTATCGTTTCTATATTGTTAAAAAAGCAAGCTGTTTGACGATAGCATTAAATAAAACAGTAAGTTTTGTTGGATTTAACTGTCAGCACAAAAATGTAGCAAGGGGGCAGAAACTGCAATCAGGTGAGCAAAAAATTACAAGAGTCACAAGTCTCTTGCTGCCCCCTCGGATACTACTTTTCAGGTAGGTAATATTTAGAAAAAAATGAATTCTTTTTTTTTTTTGTGTTTTTGTTCGCTGACGAGGGCTTCCTGTCGACACGTTCTTTGTTTTGCTGCGTTCCTTTCTTCAGGTTTTACCATACTTTGATTTATTCATTACCAAAAATAAATAAGTAATTGAATGAAACAGAAAATGAAAGGAAGCAGAAAGCAAAAAGAGTGTTTGAAGTCTTTAAAGGAGATTTTAAGAAGGAAACATAGTACAATAAATCGACAACAACAACAAAAAAAAATAAAAAAAATAAAAAAAAATAAGATAGCTTTTAGATACTAGAAAATAACCCCCAGTGTTATCAAAATAATATTGGCAGGCACTTTGTTAAAATTTCCACTTGATATTGCAAAAACTCATCACAAATCCGTATTTTAAATAGAAGTAGCTATTTAATGATATTTAGTTTTCTAGCATCATTAAAAGTTTAAATAATTATTTATCTGCTCTATATTATACGCTTTAAAATATATAATATATATAAAAAATATAGGAATGGAATTTTATATACTGATATCCTCATTAAAAATTTACCAAAGTTTTTCCTTTGTTTTCTACTATATCAGCGGTTCTCAACCTGTGGGTCGCGACCCTTTTGGGGGTCGCCCAACCCTTTCCCAGGGGTCGCCTAAGGCCATAGAGAAACACATACATTCTACCGATATGAAGTGGCCACGAAAATAATTGCGTGGCTAGGGGGGGGGGTTGCCACAACAACAGGGACTGTATTAAAGGGTTGCGGCATAATAAAGGCTGAGAACAACTGTACTATGTTATCGGAAAAACATAAAACAAACCATTCTTTTGTTTAAAAAATAACCTGTCAACCGTTCTTACACGTCTGTAACAGCGTTGAAATTATAGTTTACAGAAATAGTATTAATCTCATAAAAAAACCCAACCGCTTTACTCTTCGCAAAGTAAAGACAAAAATATTTAAAAAAAAAAAAAGAAAATCTTAACCCATCTCCTTTAACAAAATTAAATTTTCACACGTGTGAAATGATTGGGTAGACTTATGTAAACGTACCCACGTTTCGTTAATGCCAATGATTATATTAATTTTTAAAGAGACTATAACACTTCTTTTTCACAACTGTAATACCATTTGTTTGAAAGATATTGTCATCCATGTCAAAATGTACACATCCCATTCTTTACATTCGCTGTAGGCTACGTGCCTAAGAAGGTGAATTATTTCACAAATTCATTCATTTATTCTACAGCGTATCTTGTGCCGCCCGGTGCAAGCACCGAATCCCCCCCCCCCCCAAATTCCCATTCTTTACATTCGCCGTAGGCTACGTGCCTAAGAAGGTGAATTATTTCACAAATTCATTCATTTATTCTACAGCGGATCTTGTGCCGCCCGGTGCAAGCACCGAATCCCCCCCCCCCCCAAATTATATTACTATAATGCAAATATTTATAAGTTTTATTTCTTTTACACGTGTCTAGTACACCTTTTCTATATTGTGAATAATATTGATTTTATTAATCAAATTTCCCCTTTCTAAAGTGCGATGTCAACGACTTTCAATAATTAAGTTGACACAGGAAAAAACATTGAGCAGATAAGAAGTAGAACTTTGAGAATTCATGGAAGGAAAATGACGAAGTCACAATGAGTTGAGCCCAAAATGTTGATCATTGAGACTTGATTCCTTATGCAAAAAAAAAACAAAAAAAAACAAGAACAACAAAAAAACAAACAAACAAACAACGTACCAATGACTTAGTAAAGTTCAGAATCGGGTTACTTTGTTACAAGCTTTTTAAACAGCTAGCCAATGTGTGATTTAGATACGTGCCAGTGGGATCATCCTCGGCAACCAGGCGCCCGCTTGTCTCAGTGTGTATCTATTGAACCGTGTCGATCCCGCAACCATCCTGTCGTAAAGCTTCAACTATTGTCTTGGGGACAAATATTTTGATAGGTAAATTTAATATTTTCAAATTGATATACTCTGAAAAAAAAAGAGATGGGATCCCTGTCAGACAGCCTAACCTAACACTGACCCTAACCACACCGTAGCCAAAGGCTAACATTGACCCTCAACTAACACTTACCCTTACTTAGCACTAAGACTCGTAGACCAAATATTTACTATGTGCGTATGGCTCACCCGCTTGCATGAAGCGGTTCCTAGTATACCCGGGCCTTCGACCTATCAATATCCCTTCCCTAACACTTACCTCACACTAGCCCTAACCTAATACAAACCCAATCCTTACACTAACCCTCAGCCAATACTAACCCCAAAAACTAGCGTAAAACAAAGACCGGTAGACGGAAGATTTACTCTGAATGTATGGCTAAGCCGTTAATAATGAAGGAATTCTTTTTTATTGTGACTTCACTCAATACAAACAAGCTGAGTGGGGAGAAAGGACAGAGGATGGGGTTGCCAACTTCAACTCAACTAAAGCTGCATTGATATAATGATTCTTCACACTGTTGCCTTGTCAGTTGAACCCCAAAGGTAACAGCTGGGTAGTGCTCAAGTTATGCTTGGAAGCTTAATAAAAATTTAACATCAATTTTTCAGACCATCCTAGTCATTTTATTAGTTCGGGCCTGCTGTTCTGTGTGCTGTGCAAAAGTTGTTATTTTAATACTTATTCCATACAGAATATAAAAAGTGACAGTTTCAATGAACAAGAAAGATGCTTCTCTTTTTTTGTGAGTTTATATATAATCAAAACCAGCTAAATTCAGACAAACAATAAAATATTGTTAATGATTACGAGCATGTGTATCATTTCTTTGCATACTGTTTTCTTAGTCCTTAGTCACGTATTGTTTCATCTATGAGTCATATCGCAAAACCGATTAAATCTTCAAACCCATCATGGCACGTACAAGTTTAGTAGCTTAAATAGAATGAAATTGCACTACCACTGGCCTTCCTCCTTTCTGTGCCCAAAACAATGGAATTCTCTTTTATTACACATCAACAATATACCGACCATCACAGCCTTCAAAACTGCACTCAAAACACATCTCCTTAAACTCTACTATCCTGACTGACTCCCACCGCTGACAAATATACGATGCTGCTGGGTAGCCGTCAATGGCGTGACATGTAAATAGTTCTGGAAGGTGTGGAGTGAATATATATTTGTTTTGTTTTATTTAATTAATTTAAGTTAATTTATAAGTGCATGATTATGTTTGTTAAATTGTGTGTACAACATGGTGAGCCCAGCCCTAGGCTGGTGTACAAGGCTATATAAAACTACTACTACTAATTATAAAAAAAAATAATTAAAATATCCTAATCCATTTCTTAAATTGTATAAGTTACTTGTATACTTATTGCTACTTTCAGAATCGAAAAACAACATGCTTATAGAAAATATATTGTTCCGTGGGATCGTCCTGTATCTACAAACAATTTTAATGGATGAGGCAAAAGTGAGCTTCAACTTTTTGATTGTTGGAAACACCGGAAAAGGCAAGAGTGCAACGGGAAATACCATCACGGGTCAAAGGTCGTTTGAGACGTCACTAGGCGTGAATTCTCTAACGAACGACATCGAGCGTGTTGATTCAATTCACGATGGCAGAAAACTTACAGTTGTTGATAGTCCTGGCTTTATAGACAGTCGCCTGAGTCCCACAGAATACCTACCAGTGTACTTTGATTATATGAATAAGGCCATGAGAGCTAGTCCCCAAGGCTACCACGCATTCCTTTTTGTCGTTCGCTATGGTGTACGCCTGACACGTGAAGATGAAGTAACTTTTAATGCTTTGAGGCATTGTTTCGGTGAAGAATATTTCACACGGTATGGGGTTCTTGTGGTAACATTCTCAGACATGTATGACCCAGAGGAAAATAACGGTAAATCATTCTCAAATTGGATACATACAGAAGGAGGACGTCTTAAGGAAATGAAGAACAAATTTGGTGGTCGAGTTGTTTTGTTTGATAACAAAAATAAAGATGAGGCGAAGAGAAAGGCCCAAGTTGACCATTTGATAGAAATCGTTGACCAGCTGAGTGTCCTGGATTCAGGGTACAGCCCTGAGCACTTCTACTTGGCTAGCGATCAGCGTGAAAGATATTTAGTTGAAGACAAACTTCCAAGAATCAAGTTGGAAGTTAACAAAGAGATTGATCTTGCCCATGAAAAGCTAGAAAAAATTGCGTCAGGTGAAACAGAGAATAGATTAACACAATTGCATAGTGTTAGAACAACTCTAGTGAACCTTTTAACAAACATAAGGCATCAAGACAGAGACACAGGTGTCCTAAATGGGGAGATGACTGCCATCCAGAAAGTAGTTGACAAAATTCAGCAGTGGATAGACTCTTTAAGAAATCCCCCAAAAGGAAGAGACATGCAGCAATACAGAAGTGGTGGACTGATAAGTAGTGTGATTGATGTTGCCAAATATGCACTGTTCTATTTTTATGATATTTTTAAACAGATTTTTTTTCGATTCTAACTAGACAACGTTTTAGTCGAGATTACATTAAGTGTTCACTTTTTTGAATGGATTAAGATGACACATTGGTTAAATACCCCCCCCCCCAACCTTTTTCGGTGAATGAAAGATCACGTGACATATACCTTATGTACATACCACATCTACGACACGAAATGGGAACGTAAATTTACAATTTGGTTAAATTGAAAATACATCTAAATTCAAAATAAAATGCAACATATGAAAGTGTTATTTTTTTTTAATAACTGGCTAATTCGTTGAGAAAAAAAGAAATGGAGTTCTAAAAACACAGACATTGATAATTTGTAACCATATTTTTTTTTAAACTTTTTATTTTGTGATAATGTTGGCATATTGTTTCTTTTAAATTTTACTAGAAAAGCTTCTTTGTTAATAGTCTCTGGTATGCAATTCAGGCCCAAAGGACACTTAATTACACTTTAGATCTTATGATGAATCCACCAATCCACCTTTGAATTATGATAATTATCTTATGCTTGTATTTCATGTAATGGGAAATAACAGGAGCTCGTCGTGGTTGATGTTGTAGTTGTTTTGGTGTGGATTTTAAGACTGCCTGGTAGTTGCCTGGGATAGGCCCAGTTAGGCCTCACGGGGGAAGGCTTTGTAATATACAGTTCGATACACATTATAGACTGAAATGTAAAAAGAAAATCCTCTTCAATGATTACAGTTAAAACAAGTTAACAATCTGTAACGGGGACTGACATAATGTAATTTTATCTTTCATTTAACATGTAGAATAAATCCTCATCGTCATGTCCTTAGTCCTTGGACCGTTGGGGCGCCACAGATGACACGTGAACCATCCTCCTCCATTCCTCTCTGTCTTCAGCACTACGCACTGAATCGCCCAGTGTTAGTCCTGTCCACTCTTTGATGTTATCCATCTTTTTCTTTGTCTTCGTCTTCTTCTCCCTCCTCTTGTGGTACCCTGCAATATTTCTTTGGCAAGTCCTTGTTTCCTTGTTACGTGGCCGTACCATTGTAATTTGCGTTTTTTCACAGTCACCAGTAGGTCGTCGTACTCCCCAATTGCCTGACGATACCTACACTAAACCTAACGTAACACTAACCCTAACCTAACACTAGTCCTAACCTAATAATAAGACTCATAGATGGAATATTCACAATCTGTGTGTCTCAACCGCTAGAATGAAGCGGTTCCTAGTACACCTGGGCCTTATGTGATATAAAATAGCTGAGAGGGGAGAAAGGTCAGAGGTCGGTAGGGGTAACCTCAACTCAATAAGTTGCATTGATTTATTGATTCTTCACACTGATGAATTGTCAGATAAACCTCAAAGGTAACAGCCGGGTAATGCTCTAGTGAAAATCCATTTTTTCATTCGATCTTATTTAATTTATAATTGCAGGCCTGCAGTTAGGTGTGTTGTGCAAAATTTGTTATGTTTATGCTTATTCCATACACAAAAGATATTACAATGTTAATGAACGACAAAGACGCGTCTCCTTTTTGGCGAGTTGTTATATAATGATGACTAGCTATAGTAAGCTAAATAATGGCGACAGCTATGCGTGAACTTCTCATCTAAGTTACTTGACAAAACTGCATTCAAGTTACGTATTTTATAAAAATCCCAATTAGTGCCTATCATCTTAACCTCGCCCCCCCTTCCCCCCCCCCGGTACTCCACCGTCCCAGAACTATACGATTTATTATACCAGTAGCTAAAGCCCACCAAACAGTGGCGTCGGAAAGGCTTGAAATTACCATCTACTTAACTTCCTTGACAAAACATACCCTCAAGTAACCCAGTTTCTTAGAATCCCTCATTAGTGCTTCGTCCAAGGATCACAACCACTCATTTTTTTCCCACGCCTCTGAACTATGCTAATAAGCTAATGCCCCAACCCGTTTTATACTCTTTTATTTAGATACATTGTTACATAGTAACTTTAGTAGATGGGAGCATAGCGTATTTCGGCCGCCATTGTTTGGCTGAATATAGCCAGTCATAAATATATATAAAAATCATTAAACACAATTTTTACGTATTTTGATGATAGACTCAAGGAGTTAAACTTTATGTCAAGCGTTTCCAAGATTTCCATGTCAAATAGACAACTTGCACACTGGAGAACACCAATTATATCCACTGTTTCAATATTTGTGAACGACTAGGACGTGGGGATATTTCGAGCAATTTATTTTATTAAGAAATCCATAAAAGCTAAATTGATATTGCACTCCCTTGGCCTTCGTCGGTGTGCCACTGTTGATTTCTACCCCCCATAAGCCACGTGATCAGCCTTTAAACTATGGCACAATTAAAATTCACAGCCCATTAAATTGGGGACGTGCCCTTTCTTGTGGAAACCTGAATGCCGTCTTGAGACTTCCCAGAATTATGACTTTGGTTTCAGTTGTACGTTAGCTACGCTCTTTAAGATGGTGTACAGTAACTTGAGGTTTTCATAAAAGGTGGCGCCTCTGATGTGGGAACGTCTTTTAATTTTGCAGAATTATAACTTTTTGGGGGGAATTTTAAAGGTATGAATATATTTTTTTACTCCAAATTCAATAATAATATGCTTCCTAATATAAAAAAAATCAAAACACTATCAAGAAACACAACGCACAACAAACTAGTCTACGAAATCCTTCTTCAAGTAACACGGACTTGTTTTAAACATGTCACGTTAAATGGGCGTGGTAGTTTTAACATATCGAATGTCAAGTTACACTGTCATTTTAGACAGATCAAGATATATTTATATGATTATGTTTAACGAGTCAACGAGTCAAGGAACATGGTACTTTGTTCTAAAAAGTCAAAATAAACAGTGTTTAACAAATGAATTTATTGTTGACTTGATGATTAAAAATAAAATTCTTATCGTAGAAAATTTGACTTATATATGATATCGTCAAATTAACATTTCGACGAGTTAGTTTTGCTTCTTGAAAAAAAAAACACAAGAACCCACTACGAAAAAAACAAAAAAAAAAAGAAAAAAAAGCTTGTTATAACTAAATAAATAAGTATTTAAATTTTATTAAAAATAAAATTCTTATCGTAAAAAATTTGACTTATATATGATATCGTCAAATAAACATTTCGACGAGTTAGTTTTGCTTATTGAAAAAAAAAACACAAGAACCCACTACGAAAAAAACAAAAAAAAAAAAGAAAAAAAAGCTTGTTATAACTAAATAAATAAGTATTTAAATTTCAATAACGAAGTGATCATTTTTTGCAGCCCCTTTCAATCAATGTTGTGTTTGCCCAAATCAATATGGACCCATATTCATCTTATAGTGAATCCCCCACTTCAACTAAAGATTCTAGAAAATTATTGCCAAGACCTATGATCAGAGTTCTTGAGCACACGCAGAATAGGGGCCTATCGCTAAATATAGTGTCTGTTCTTTATAGAAGAAGGTCGCTTTGTCCCATTGAACCTCAAAGTTCGCATTGTTGCACATCTTATGCCATGAACATTATAACGAGACATGTAGTTTTAAATGAACGTTACATTTTTTGATTTCTTTGACCCAATGAGTGGTGTGACAATTAGGTACCAAAATTAGGGCTTAGTTTCACTCACCTTATTTTATGGGTCGGTTTGGATACATGGGAGAGAAGGCGCGTAATGGCTGTATTCCATAATTTTCAAAAGATACATGGATGATGGCATTTGAATCACTACCAAGGAAAAACGCGAGCCTTCACCACTCTGAGATCGCTGTAAATTTTCTAGACCCTTCATTAAAAGGAAAACAAATCTTGCACCAACTACAAACCAAAAATCAGTGTTATCTCTTGCATCCATGGTCTTTGTTATTAAACACTTACTAATATTCTCACTGTTGTTCCTGCCCAACTTTACATCTTAGGAACTTCAATTTATGAAAAATAACTGGTTAACGATACGTGAAAAAATATACGACATGACACTGTTGAGCAATTCACAGTGCAGATTACCCTAGTGGTGTTACAATTAAATGTAAATTAAATTAAATGAAGCTCTGTTTTTTGAAGCCGTGGAATGGAAATAGTTGACGATCCACTTGAACAAAGCATTTGAAACTTGAATCGAAAGACAGGACAATAGAGAAAGAACGTTTCGGCTAAGAAAATTCTTCACCAGACTAGGAAAATGAAAATACGCCAAAAAATATACACTTGTCAAAACGTAAGTTATCTTCATTGTCATTGACGGAAGTTTGATTTTTCCAAAAGATAGAAAAAAAAAACAACACCAAAAAAAAACAACAACAAAAAAAAACAAATAACAAAACAGGATTGTAATTTACACCTGCATCATGAACGATCTTTTGTTTAATGAGTTAACTGATTTTATCATTCTTTTTTTTCTCTCTCTATTCAGTTGTGAGATAAAATCTCTTGGTAACTGCAACAAAATACAAATAGTCCATTGCATCATGTTATTTTCTTGAACTATCAGGCAAACCAATAATAACATCTTAAAGTTTTTGAATCGAATGACATTTTATAAAGGTGAAAAAAAAAGTGTTTGTAAAATAAAAGCTTCCTTTCCTTTTGGATTTTCCTAGAGTTAATCAATCAATAGTCTACCCAGAAGGCCATGTCGGTATCGTTTCGAAACCATCACTGGGTTGGTGCTAGTGCAAGCTCCTTACTAGATTTAGAAGGTAAACTACATATACATTGTAAATACATTGTAATCTTGACATTTTATTAGCATTCTGTTACTGTTTTTGTTTTTGCTGAGGTAAGTGTTTTTGTTAGTTCACCATATAATAACAATGGTGGTTTGAATTGTGTTACCGTTCTGTGCCAATAAGGCAAGACGCTTAACGCCTTATTTGAATTTAATCAATAAAATGGTGTGATCTAGAAAGAGCACAAATATTATGTGTGCAGTTTCACAAGGCATAGCGGAAATATTAATAGTCCTTATTTTAACAAACCCCTTACCCTCTTTGCGGACGTCCTTCATAATAAAGACACAATAGCAATGAGACAATCAGAGAATATAACAGTTTCAAGATATTCTTTTTTTTTCTCAAGTGTATCAAAATAATATTTCTTTTATTCCACAATGTAAAATTTTGCTAATATTAAAGATACTTTATAATTTTTTTTCCAGTCACTTTTTGGAAAGAATGGCCATTTTCAGACCCGCCTCTGTGATCATTGTTTATCTATATTCAATGATTTCATTCATCATCATGGTAGATCGAAATGGCCAACTGGACTTACTTCTCGTTGGTAATACCGGAATGGGAAAAAGAACAATTGGGAACACGATACTGAGCAGAGATGCCTTTCAGTCTGATAGCGGTTTCACGTCGGTGACCAAACGTATACAGTTTGAGTATTCAGATTACAACGGTAGAATAATCAAGGTGGTCGTCAGTCCAGGCGTTGGAGATACTGACCTGAGCCAAGAGGAAGGTTTGGCTCAAATAGCAGATTCTATGAAACAAGCCGTAGCTGTAAACCCTGAAGGCTACCATGCGTTTTTATTGGTTTTCGAATTTGGTCAAGACTTTACGAGGGAAGACGAGAACACGCTCAAAATACTGAGGTCTTTTTTTGGTGAAGAGTTCGTGAGCGAGTATTGCATTGTGGTCATAACACATGGGCAACTCTATAAACCTAAGAAACATGGCGATGCCCCGTTTTCTGATTGGATGACTAGTCAGAGTGGGCAAATGAAAGCCCTCATCGAGGAAGTCAATGGCAGAGTTATACTGTTTGATGATGTGCTGAAAGATGAGGATAAGATGAAAGAACAGGTTGACGAAATCATCAAAATGGTTGACCAAATAAGCGTCCGCAGGATTAGGTACACTAATGAGCTTTTCAAAATGGCTCGGCATGAACGGGAAAGGATGCTAGTTGATACCAAAACACCATTTATCCAAGAGGAATCTATAATAGAAGCAAGTTTAATCTTGCAACAACTTGCACAAGTTCAGATGAGGGATCCAGAGCAACAACTGAAGCGCTTAGACGCGCTAAAGGCTAGAGCGGATGCGTTGTTATCAAAGGTCAAAGAGCAGGATAAATTCACCGGAGTCCTACAAAATATTATTCTAAGTAGCCGGGATATTGTCGAGTGCGTTGAGGACCAAATGCTGGCCACTAAGGAAGCTATAAGGCAAAAGGGGATCAAGAAAGACGAGCAGAAATTACTCAAAGACCTCCGTGCTCAGCGAATTAGATACCTGGAAAACAACAATGACGATCTGAAAGCACGAATTCGAGAACTTCAGAAGAAAGGAAATGAAAGAAATGCTTTGTCTGAGTTAACAGTGAATGGCTTAAAAAGTAAAGTAAAACAAGTTGAGGATGCGTATAACGAATGGAAATACTCTGGTTGGTTTTCCTATGTGCTTAATTGGTTATCTTCAAAATGGAATGAGTTTCTTTCTTTCCTAAGCAGTTTAATTCATTTTCAAGATTCCTATTTTCGGTCACCTGCTAGCACTGGTTTACAAAAATGGTAGTTTTTTTTTTTAGGGCGTGAACGTTTTTCTCGCAAATCAATTTATATTTATTAATATCATTTAATTCACTTTTTCTATTCAAAAATATATTGTTTTAGAGCAACTCATTTTAAAGATTTAAAAAAAATGCTTCTTTAGATTGCTTATCTATCGATAGGTATTGCTAAGATATGATTGAGTAAATTAAAAATTCATCATTTGATTAGACTTAGAGTAAACTAATGATACCATTGCGTTAAGAACATTATTAAAACAAAGTTTGTATAGGTAGGCTTACTTTAAATTAAAATGTTGAAGCTATGACAAGTGGCGTACGTAAGGGGATGAGTGTAATGAATGTACCAGGTGGCAATCATTTTAACGTAATTATCAAAACTATTTCATACATTTTGGTGAGGAGATCGGCCCCGTGTGGGATTTAGTCAAGGAACCATTTGTTTTATTATGTTTCTCGCTTGAATCTAATCTATGATAAATACTATTGCTCTCCTTTGTCCAAATCACGTAACAACTAATCTCACTTTTTTAGAAATGTATTTTAGTCTTCAGAAGCTTGCTGACTAAAGATAACCTATCACTTCTATCTATCCGTAAGAAATAGGGTGGGGGTGTCAAAGAATGCCGGAGAAACATTAACTCAGGCCTCGCATTGGTACTTTTATATTAACTTCGCTTTTTGTGTTGAGGGCAAAATTTCTAATGGCTAATTGACCCACTTCCCGTCACCCTATTGAGATGAACCTTGGAAAATAGACCCTCTGCGAATAACAACTCATTTTTCAAATTTACAGCCTCACCCCCAAACGCAACTACCACCCCCCCCCCCAAACTCGACACACAAAATGACGCATACAAGACAAGACTTGCCGTTATGTTAGCTGGCAAGCAACTAGAAACGACACTATGTTGGGTCCGTTTCACTAATATCGCTGACTAGGTGCAGCAACGCTACGAGACCACACTTTTTTTGGTACCACCGAAGAACACGTTTTTTGAAGTACTTTTAAGTCTTTTTAAACCTATTTGTAGTAGTCTAGTTGTTTCTCCTGTTAGTGGACCCTGCTGTGTAGAGTTGGTCGCCAAAATGTGCTGCGGTGTGTCTTTGAAACAATACGATCTCATCTTGTTTTTGAAGTTTGATTTTAATTGATATTTTGTAAAATCCAACTGTAATACATAGCTGTTTTATCAGTTGTTTGCACTTGTAACTTATAACTTTGCTTATCTTTAACGGACTTCTTCATTTGAAGGACACAATCTATACAAGATTTTTGTAGAATACATGAACGTTATCTCAAAAAACCAAGTCTCTTAGTGTTCTCAATGTTTTGTTTACCTTAAGACTTTTAAAGTAATTAGCTTTTTATTAAATTACGACATTGGCGACTAAAAACTCATATTTATTCAGTTTAAAACATGAAAATATTCCTCAATGCACAAGTTTTATCAAACAAACAGGTGAGTCTACAAAGACCAAAGACGAGTTACACATGATTTTGTCATAAATAATTCACGCTGGATGTACACAGATCCTAGTTATACAGCAAACATATATATATATATATATATATAATTTTATAACTAGATTATAGGAACCGATGGTACCCTGATATTTATGGAAGACATTTCACGATACTTTCTACCCGTTTTTGCCATGTACCAAAATCTAAACATCAAATTTGTAAGTATATAACTGCAAACAAAAATACAACAATATTTCAAACCCTTGAGATGTAAATTTATTAAAAAGTTAACCAGACTTTCCTTGTCTGAAAAAGAAGTATGTGTATATTGATATTTACATTTATAACATCATTTAGGTTTGATGAATATTTATATTCATATAATATAGGCCAACACCCGCCCTTTCACACCCTTGAACTACAAATACATTTTTTTTCTTCTAAAATTTGTTTTAAAAAAATGTCCTTCAATTTACAACAGAGAATTTAAATGACATCTTAAGTAACTGTATCATTAACTGCATTTAATAAATTGTTGTCTTCATTCAATCGTAAAACACAGAATTCTCAAGTATTGAAGTTTATCTTAACTTATGGTCGTGACTTTGAATTTTTATTAGAAATGTTATTCATCTCATAAAAATATACACCCACATTTCCTAGAGCTTTATTTTTCGTAAAATAGAAATGAACGTATATTTTCATCACCATATAAAAAAAAAATTAACCCACATTTAATCACTCTTCGAACTGTAAGGGAACAAAATGTGGATCTACTTTTAAGGCTAAACTTTCATGTGTGTAAATTGATTGGTGTTTGAGATATTTTCATCACCATAAAGACGAACCCTCTCTCTTTCTTTCACAATTGAAGTGTATTTTAAAGAAACATTAATAATACATTTTGTAATATTGACATAAAGTTTATCCTCATAAAAATGTGCTACACACTCTATCCTTATCCTTGAACTCGATCTGTGGAAAAATTAGGAAAACCTAGATGTCCTTGGCTGCAACGAAAATCTCATGTTCTATTTTCCATTCTCCGACTTTTTTTGAGGTATGGGGAACATTAATATAAAATAACCGACTATTTGATTAAAATCATCCAATAAAATCAGTTGGCTGAAAGGCCATCACATGGGCGTGTACTTGTTACAAGATCAACATATACTTTTGAACAGATTTTACCTTAAATTACAAATTATCTGTTCAAAAATGTTTTTAAAAGTACCGGGGGACTCTTAAAATAATTCAGATGACTTTATATTTTAGAAGAAGATTTCAATAGTTGTAAAAAAAATAATTTATAAACGGTATATTATATAAATACATTATATAATCTTAAAACTCTGATAGAATATTTTACAATGAAGCTAAACATGATGCAAATTATAAACAAAATATTTTTCACTTAAAAAGCAAGTTATACATATATATATATATATATATATATATATATATATATATATATATATATATATATTATATATATATTAAAAAAAAAGATATATATATATATATATATATATATATATATATATATATATATATATATATATATATAGCATATATATATATTTATTAATTCAATAAATAAATTAGCATGGACATTCAAAAGCAAATATTAATGAAATGTCCTCATCGTTAACAGCAACGGAACCATTTTGATTTCTTTAACTAGGGAATCGTGGCACTGAAACATTCCAACCATGACACAGTGACCTTCATGCAGGCAGATGTTTCCTTCGAAATTCACGTGTACAATACGGGTAATTCCAATTATTAGGTAATTTCTTGTTTTCCCCCAGGAGTCGCGCACATTCCTCCCCTGCACAAACCAGAAAAAAACAGGTATAAAACCCAGTGAGAGTTCAGTTGATTTTAGTTTGACGCCATTACCTGTTTCTAAACCGTCGCTAGAGAGGGGCAACAATGCACCTTGAACGCTACAAGACATTCTAGTACACTAAAGAGTGAGTAACATTGTTTGTAATGACAAAGTGTTATTGACTTGGTGTATTTTTTATTTTTTTTAAATATTTTAACACGTGACCTAGGATTAGGATATGTCTCACTACTACCCGGGCTACTTTGGGATGATCTTATCTTGACTGGGTGCCTCAAAGTTACACGGATGTAATTCCTTATTACAAGTTTAGAAAATCGCTTTAAATGTTAAAACAAAAATTATAAACATTTTGCTCCCAGAAGCATAGGTGGGTAAGGATACGTCATAATGTTTTCAAAGTAAAAATTGTACGATGAGTTAAAGGAAAACAAAGCTGTTTTTTTTCCTCCAAAAACTTTAGTTTGACATTAATTAAACTAGACGTCGTCCCAAGATATCGAGTAGCCCGATTCCAGCTAAATTATTTTGCTGGACTTGCTGCAAGAGCAGCGCGTTCTCCTCAACCTCTGGGACGCGAACCATTCACAAGGGTCGGCTAAGATCGTCGGGAAACATATATATAACTGTAGAGTATATATATATACTCTACAGTTATGATGCCCCCAACGGAAATAATTTTGTGGTTGTTAGTCCCTATTATATGAGGAGCTTTTTTAAAGGATCGCGGCATTAGAAAGGTTACGAACCACCGTGCTAGAGGGTTGTGACACGCTACCTGGGACTGAGCGAAGCACAGAGCTACCCAAAGATGTGACACGCTACCTGGGACTGAGCGAAGCACAGAGCTACCCAAAGATGTGACACGCTACCTGGGACTGAGCGAAGCACAGAGCTACCCAAAGATGTGACACGCTACCTGGGACTGAGCGAAGCACATGTGGCTGTCCCAGAATCTGTACATTTGAAGCCGCTTTAATTTTTCTGCCCCCCCCCCCGCAGCGCCTTGAATAAACCTACAACAGACAGAAGAACAGACGGACGGACAGAAAGACAGACAAACATAAACACTCACACACACCCGCGCACACATACATCCAGTGGTAGGAAAAGTGATAGTACATATAAGAGAGGGGGTCGAGTCAAACTCTGGTATATGTTATGAATTTCAAGGGACAGAGGTCATGCTCAACATTGTATAGCAATACATCTCCTTGTCTAGGCCAACCTTGTGTTGCTTTACTCGGGGCCACCACGATAAAACGACCGATTTATGGAACAGCCTTTAAGACTTCGGGAAATTCCGTTGTTACTTTAAGTTCTGACTGCAAGTGATTCATTTTCCAGCTAATGAAATAACAGATATTGACGTCATCTGTTTAAATTAAGCTAACTAGATGTAGCCCGCCAAACATTGGCAACAGCAATGCGTGAACTTCCCATCTACTAGTGTTACTTGAAAAAACGGTGAAGTCAAGTTACGCACATTAAAGAATGCCAATTTTGCTACAGCCCCCCCCCCCACTTTTTTCATGATACGTCACGGCACACTTTTTATATCACGCCGACCCGCAGCTTAGCATACGCCGCGAGCTTTGCTGACAAGCGAGGGTGGTGCAGGTGGGGGGGTGGTAGCTCCACCGCAGTGCGCATGTCTCTCTCGAGACCAACGATGGGCAGGCAAGGGAAGGGAGGGGAGGGTTAGCCTGTGTCTTGCTTGCTCTGGTGTATCTATATATAGCCTGCGTGGTCTTCTTGTTTGGCCTTCTTCTGGCGAATTATAAGTATAGATAGAGAAATGCTGGATCATGTTAAGCGTAGATGAGTTGAACAAGACACTAACAATGATTTTAAAACTAGTGGTTGGGGCTTAAACTATTTCTCGGTGAATTTGACGGCAGATTAACACTGTGGACTTTTTGTGTTATAAATATTTTATTTATTTTTAGAAGCTTATAGTTTAAAACTTCAGTATTTTTATTATTATAATTTTTTTTCTGGGGCGGGGGGGTGTTGGGGTTTGGGGGGGGGGGTATTTAAATTTATTCTTTTTCCTGGCATATTTATTTTGTGTAATTTTGATTTAAAATCAAATAATTGCGTTTGCATCGAAATAACTTTAAAAAATAAAAATATTTATTTTTAGAAGCTTATAGTTTAAAACTTCAGTATTTTTATTATTATAATTTTTTTTCTGGGGCGGGGGGGTGTTGGGGTTTGGGGGGGGGGGTATATAAAATTACTCTTTTTACTGGCATATTTAATTTGTGTAAATTTGATTTAAAATCGAATAAATGCGTCTGCATCGCAATAACTTTAAAAAATAAAAAACACTTAACTTTGTAATGCAACTAGGCCACGAAGTTTAAAATCAGAAATACACTAATGAAATCAAGGACAATGACAGTTATGACTTAAAAGACAATACCAGGTCAGTCTGTAAAGTAAAGACTTCTAATGAATTTGATTAAAATAAATTAAATCATTTTTGATTAGTTTCTTACGTAAGAAGGTGAAGTAAATTTAAAAAAAAAATATCTCACAATGAACCCAATTTGTTTTGTTTCTCCATAGAACTTTAGCTACTAGAATGACAGATAAGGCAAAAGATCTTGACCTACTTCTCATTGGAAAAACTGGCAATGGTAAAAGTGCAACAGGGAACACAATTCTTGGAAGACGATGCTTCAACAGTTCCCCAAACACAAAATCAACCACCAAAAATGTCCAGTTCGATTACTCTGACCACAACGGTCGAACCATCAAAGTCGTAGATGGTCCAGGTATCGGAGACACTGACCTGAGCAAGGAGGACGCCCTGACTCAAAGCACCGATGCCTTGAGCTACGCCATAGCCGCCAATCCCGAAGGCTTCCACGCGTTTCTTCTGGTCGTTCGTTTCGGTGGCAGATTCACAGCTGAAGACGTTCAGACGATCCAGGTGCTGAAGCAAATTTTCGGTGAAGGATTTGTCCGGAGTTTCTGCATTCTCGTTCTGACATATTGCGATAACTTTGACCCTGAAGAGTCGGAAATTGATTCACTCTCCGACTGGGTAACCGCTCAAGAAGGCGAATTTAAGTTTTTGTCGGAAGAATGCGGTGGCAGAATTGTTTTCTTCGACAACAAATGCAAGGACGAGGTCAAACGTTTGGCGCAGGTTGACCAGCTGATAAAAACAGTTGACCAGCTCAGCGTTCTCGGAATGAGATACTCGGATGATCACTTTAAAATGGCCCAGCACAAACGAGATCAGATGATCGTGGAGGCCAAATTGCCCATGATCCGAGAAGAGACCATGAAAGAGGCCGGTCTCATCCTACAGGCACTGGGCAGTGTTCAGCTGAACGATCCGGAGAAACAGATCCAGCTGCTCAAAGGACTGAAATCGAGAGCGGAAACTTTGTGTAAACAAATCAAAGAGCAGGACAAGAACTCCAGAGTCCTTACAGCATTGATTGAAAGCAGCGAGCACATTCTGAAGTGCGTCGAGCATCAGATCTCAGCCGCCGAGGACGCCAAAAGAATTCACGACACGAGAGAGAAGCAGATGCGGAAACTCGACGAGCTGAGAGCTGAGAGAGATCGAGAATTCAAAGAAAGCATGGACAAACATCGCGCGGAGCTAGAGAAACAAATCCAAGAGATTGACAGAGAAGACAGAGAAAGACAGGAGGAGCTGGGCATGATTACTGAGCGACTGAAGGCGGACACTAACGTAGTCCAAACTCATTACACAGACGCCAAGGAGATCTCAACCTGGGAATGCATTAAGACAATCGGGTCAAGGCTATTGACTCATGTAGCGCCTGTGGTGTTAACATTACTTCGTAAGGTGATATTTAAATTTTAAACTCAATAAAATGTACCTCAAGGCAATTGCAAGCATTAATTTTGGCTTGTCCACCTTTTCCATGTGCATCTAAACACTTTTTACGACCGCCCACCCCCTTCTCTTTTTGTCCTTACGCCACATGGTTTTGTAATAATGAGGTTAAATACTTAGATGAGCGGTTCTCAACCAGTCGGTCGCGACCCCTTTGAGTATCAAACGACCCTTATACAGGGTCTAAGACCTAAGACTACTTCCCTATAACCTGATTTGTTATATTTTTTTTAAATTTCATCAAAGCGTTTGTAAATGTTATATAATAGTTCATGTTTCCGTTGGCCCATTTCATTTGAGGCCCACGGATACTACTTCCAAGCTAAGTGCTATTTCTTATTTTTTACTTTCATACCGTTTTTTCTGTTGTTTCGTTCGTTGACGAAGGCTTTCTGCCGACACGTTCATTGTTCTGTTACGTTTCTTTTTTTCAGGTTTAACCCTACTCTGTTTTACTCATTTCACGTTGGTGCTATTGCAGTATTTCGAGACATCATCCACTCGTTATTTCAGTTCGAAAGGAAATCAAAAGGGGGAAGTTGGTTATTCTATTTATAGATGCTTGGAGATTAACCTCGATTTGAAAAACAGGATGCGTTTATATTGCTCAGAGCAGTTCTAATAGATGTGCTTCAAAGCGCTTATATTTTTTAATTTTTAAAAAAATATTGTAGATCATGTATTATTGAATTTTAAATGTTCTTAAGAATTCAGTTTGTTGTTCCTTTGTTGCAGAATCTTCTTTTCAAACTTAATATTAAAAATTAAGAAAACAATTTAAAAAAACCCAACTCATTTGTATATTTAAAAGAGTTTTTTTTTAGGAAAAAAAATACAATCATTTGGCAAATGGAAATTTCACGATTTTGTTACAGATATTTGTTTATATTTTCCTGAATGGATTTATAATGATTACACTTGTAAATTGGTTACATTACAGAGACGAGTAAGATCACGACAAAATTACGATTTATTACAATTGTAATAAATTATATATATTTTTAAAATGTAATTTAAAAAATCTACTGTAAAACAATGTATGTGCAATTGTAAACATTTGGTCGGAACTTTAAAATTCGTTTGTGTTAATACTTTTTTTATTTTTTCTTTGTCCACGTTGTCATGGGTTACAGCCTGTTGTCATGGGTTACAGTCTGTTGTCGTGGGTTACAGATTTTTGTTTTTGTTAACGACCTGTTGTGTTTGATTATAGCCAACTATCATGGGTTACAGTCTGTTGTCATGAGTTATAACCTTTTTTCATTGGTTACAGCCTGTTGTCATGAGTTAGAGATTGTTGTCTTTGTTAACAACGTGTTGTCATGGATTATAGCCAACTATCATAGGTACAGCCTCTTGTCATTGGTTACAGCTTGTTGTCATGGCATAAAAGAAGAGGCTTAGCGATGAAAAAACGATCAACAAATCAGTCATAAAACTCGTATATATTCTTTATGATACATAACTAACTAAATGTGAACAATCACACTTAGAGTAGATTAAACAGAACAAACCCTTGTTTGTCAATTGTCTCTCCTCTCATGAAGTGCAGATCTAAAAAAAGAAATGCTTCATCAGGTAAGAACGTTCCTCTGTGCCAACGTTTCCTAACGACTGGCAAACGGCTGCTCCAAAAAGATGGGAATGGGTAGGTATGGGTAATTTGAAGATTATAGGTGGACGTTTATTTTCTGGGGGTCTGATGCACCTACGTTTAAAATTTAAAGCGGGGTAATGTTGGAGAGGATGGGGGAGGGGGAATGATATACCAATTTAGGGGGATCAAATGGAACAGGGGGTATAGAACACAAAAAAAAACAAAAAAAAAAAAAAAAAACAACAACAGGGGAAAGCTCTATAATCATGGAGTATTTTATCTATTTATATATAAAACAGGTTACAAATCCTACATACAGATGCGAAGCTAACGACAATTCACAGAGTTTGAAAACATGGGAGTTCAAATGTTGACCCCCATTTTAGCTGCCAGCATTGCAAGTAAGAGTTTGACAGAACTTGTCGTAACGGGTCATGGAAAAACAACAAACAAACAACAAACAAACAACAAACAAAAACAACAAAGTACAACAAAAAATCCACAAAAACAAAATAAAAATAAAGACCGGTGGGTGGGACAGGTGGATGGGACAGGTGGATGGGAGAGGTGGATGTGATAGGTGGATGCGATAGGTGGATGGGAGAGGTTGATGGGACATGTCGATGGGATATTTGGATGAGATATGTGGGTAGATGAGACTGTTGGATGGGACAGGTGGATGAGATAGGGGTATGGGACATGTATATCGGGCATGTGAATCGAACAGGTGGGTGGGACTGTTGGATGGGACAGGCGGATGAGACAGGTCGATGGGACTGTTGGATGGGACAGGCGGATGAGACAATGAACACCGCAGTTATGTTTTTTGTGAAGTAGGTCAAAGGCATTTTGTAAAAGTCCTATTTTTGGACGTCAATACAGACATTAACCGCGTAGGCGTATGACCTTTGATGAACGTTACATAAGCTGTGTCGACCTTAAAAAAAGAATAAACAATGTTCAAGGTCGACCCAATAAATTAATTTTTATAAAATTATTTTTCAGCAACCATCGTTTTATTGTTGAAAGGATACAGAGCACACTTTCTCCGTGGCGAAGCACAGTGGCGAGGCACCTCGCGTTCATATGACCTGCATAGCTGGCATAGCTTATCAGCAGATGTGCATTATTTATAACCATTACAAGCACATCAGCACGTCAAGTGAAACATTTATTCTAAGGAGGTGTGCATTAAAATCTATCAAATAAACATGATTTTACTGTGTACAGTAGACAACTACTCTCACATATACCTGGTCCGATCCAGGGGAAAAAAAAGGGGGGGGGGCTAACGGAGGGTGTTCTAATGTCAGGTGACATCACATTTACACGGATCACAACGTTACACACTACACATCCGGTTATATTACATGGCGCTGGTCCTTTTTTTTTACGCATCAGCAATAAATAAAAGGTATGGGCGAATTTAAATTTGTCTCTTTGATACATTTATTTTAAAATAAAATTAATTGCATTTTTTGTAAATTTTCTATTGATTACTAGTAAATAAACATCATGGTCCTTTTTAAAAAAAATCCACTTTAAGACAATAATAGTCGAGCTAGACTAAACGCACACTAAAACGTCATTAGGGCAAGTATTAATGGATGTTGAAGATACTTTCTGTACGCATGTGAATAGCGAAATTAATTAAACATTCAAATAATTGCTTGGGATTATTTATATTTTATTATTATTGTTGTTCGTTTTTAAAAAAAAACAACAACAAACAAACGTTGTGTTTATTAAAAAGTATCATTTAATACCAGTTGTTACAATAGTTGCAACTACGGTCAGCTGTAACGGGCAGCGTTTAACTTTCATTTTATTTGAAGGCGGTAACGATAACAAACTACAATTCTCTAGGCACGTGTGTGTTCAGTAGGCGGGCCAAGTAACATCGCCAGAAGTTTGCACGAGCTGGGGTTCTTGTAAAGTGTGTTGCTCCAATTTGATTGTTTCTTGAGGTAACTTCAGTAGTCGAGAAGTTCACGTTCTTTTTGTATTTGTTGGGTGGGTTTTTTCTAGGTAATAGGAACACTTTTAAAACAAAACCAACGGCAGCAAACGACAAGGAAGTATAGTTGCTATAGAAGTTATGCCACCATCTTCATAGTGTCAATGATTACGTCAGATAGAAATAAATTAATAGCATCTATGATACGGTGTCACTTTCAACTACTGGAATCCATTTGTGCACACTATCCGGACACTATCAACACACTATCAAGACACAATCAATACGCTATCGAGACACTATCAACACACTATCAACACACTATCAACACACTATCAACACACTATCAACACACTATCAACGCACTATCAACACACTATCAACACACTATCAACACACTATCAACACACTATCAACACACTATCAACACACTATCAACACACTATCAACGCACTATCAACACACTATCAACACACTATCAACACACTATCAACACACTATCAACACACTATGCATGTAACGATAGTGAAACACAGCGGCCCCTCAGCTCATTTCCCAGAAATGCGCTTTCCCAGCAAAATGATTGCACAGTGACTCGTTGAATATCAGCTGACCCAATTTGATTTGTACTGCGCCATTTTGTCTTCATCGTAAACAGTCAGAGGACTAAGTAAGAGATCGTTTTGTTTATTCATGAGGACTTAGTGGTAGTTTTTTTAAGGAACACCTACGTGAATGTAATTTGAAAAAGAAGCACCTAGATCTGCTCCTAAAAAGTTAGTATTATTGTAAGTTTGTGTGTGATTTTATGAACTACAATTTCAACGTCCCAATTTTAAGAGGTGATATAGTAGAAGTAGAGGTATAGGCTATAGTACTAAAAATGACATTATATTATTAAATATACCTTCATGTTCGACTTTATATCTATTTACACAATTCGTGTTTATAAGATCGCAACGCGAAAGAGGAATCTGTCGTTAAAACAACAGAAACGCTATTACATTCTAATAAACGTGATGTAATTAAATGGGTTATACTTAACTGTTAAAATAGGTTAGCTTCAACACAGAGAAATCATAACCCTTTATAGAAAGTAAATACATTGTTGTATGAGTCAGAGTTATGATGAGTTTTGTTTTCATGGATGAGTCAGTAAATGTTATACAACATTTTATTTATTGATATATCAGTCACCGTTATAATAAGTAATTTTCTTTGACCATTCAATAACTATAATAATTTAGACTTCATTAATGTTTTATAATTGTAAAAAAAATCTCTATCTAATATCAGAAAACAATGGAAAATACTTTTAAATTCGTTTTGGTTGGAAAATCTGGCAATGGGAAAAGCGCTACGGGAAATTCCATTTTGCGACAGAATGCTTTCGCGAGACAGTCCAGCAGTTTCTCAGAGGTGACGAGACCATCGGCAGGCAGCAGTGCCTTCCACGGAGCACACATTACCGTGGTCGATGGCCTGAATTTTCGCAAGTCTAAGGAAAATGCAGACTTTTCAGATGTGGAGCAGACGTTGCGGCTGTGCAATGATAACTTTTCGGCCTTGCTGGTCGTTTTGAAGTTCGGCTCTAGGTTTGGGGAGGAGGACGTACAGGTTGTGAAAATGGCGAAAACCGTTTTTGGTGAAAACGTCCTGAAAGATTTCGGCATCTGCCTTTTGACGCACGGCGGTAATTTCAGGTATGCCGTCGAGGAAGAGGGAGAGTTCTTGAACGTGCACGAGTGGTTCGAACAGCAGACGGGTAAAGTTCGCGAGCTGTTCAACGAATGCGGTAAGAGGTGCGTCCTGTTTGACAACACCACCAAGTCCGCACAGGTGAAAGACGAACAAGTTGAGAATCTGCTTGACATTGTCAGAAAAATGCCCAGGACCTATACTTCAGGAGATTTCAAAGACGCCGAGCGGAGTCGCAAAGCCCTTGTAGGGAGTGAAACGTTTACCGAGTTCAAAAGAAAATCGGAACAACTCCTGGGATCAGTGAGGAGAGATTTAAGGGCTTCTGAAGACGACGGCAGCAATCGTGCAACTGATTTTGAAGTTCTGCTAGCCAAGCTAGAAGACGAAATCTTGTTGATAAACAAAACATTTGGAGAAAACTCCAGATATTCAAATGAACTGACCATACCGTTATCGGCTGTGGCGATGGAAATTAAATCCAAAATTAGAGGAAACGCAAGTGTGCAAGAACTGAGGAGGGGCGAATTTAGGAGAGGAAACACAATAGTAAATGATTTGAGCAGGGGCGAATTTAGGGGATCAAACCCAGATTCTACCAAGAAAGTGACCAGCAATGATGTTAGTCACGTGGTCAAAAGAGACGAGCATCGATCTTTGGACACTACCACCGTGCTGGGAGAGTACAAACAACTCAGGCAAGATATGGCATGTTTTGAAAAGGACGTGTGCCAAAAGTTAAAATTGTGGATTCAGGAACTTCATAGAATTCTATGGATACTCCCCGAAGGCTCAGATGAGAGAAAAGCTGTGGCCAGGGATCTGAAAACTGATGTCCTGAAACTCCACAAACTAAATGAAATTGGCGGAGGAAACTCAAAGGAAATAAAATCATTGTTGAAGAAAGTCGAACAAGACGCAGAAAATTGTCAAAAAAATATACAACAGCGACAAACGGAGGTCAACAAGATTGAGGTTTGTATAAGTCCTTTGAAATATCACTTTAATTAGAAAATTTTATAGTATTTTCACTGTTAGGTCTTATATATTCTATTTTAAGTGAAAGACTACATGGACAATTTAACAACTAATATTATAATTACAAATAGTCATTATATTCGACAATAATTCTTATTAAAAGTTTGTTCAGCATAACTAACATTTTTAAAAGAAATTTCAAGGTATTTCGCAACACAACTTTGTCTTATACATTAGCAACAAATACATTAACAATAGATGCATTTACAACAGATACTTTAACAACATATATATGTGCCTGTCATCTTTGTTGACACGAATGCAACACAACTAAAACAATTATTTCTGTAATGTCTAAATTCTCTAATTCTAAGTCAAATATTCTATATTTACAGTCACGCCAGTCAACAGCTCCAAATGAAATTAACTTGATTCTCATTGGGAAATCGGGGAATGGAAAAAGCGCCACAGGCAACAGCATTCTGGGACGTAGAGCTTTCAAAACAACTTCCTGTACAACATCATCATCTGGTCCATCCAGGAAAGAAAGTTCTCTGGTCCAAAACATGATGGTCAACGTAGTGGATGGACCAGGGGTGGACACAAGTCAAGGTAGACACATGCTCCAGGCGTCGCTAAGCGATTTCAAAAAAGCTTTAGAATTGTGCGAGTATCAGTTCTCTGCCTTGGTAATCGTTCTTCAGTACGGAGTTCCAGTCAGTAGCCAAGAAATGGAAACCGTGAAAATGTTGAAAGGAATCCTGGGGAATGACGTCATTAAAGCATTTGGCGTCTGCGTGATGACACGCGGGGATAATTTTGAAAATGACATGGAGTTCGAAGAACCTTCCTTGACATTTAAAGCTTGGTGTCGTCAACAAACTGGTGAACTGGGAATTTTGTTTGAGGAATGCAACTTCAGATGTGTCCTGTTTGAAAACAAAACAACAGATCAGACCGTAGCAAGGCAACAAGTGGAAAGTCTATTGTCCTTCGTCAAACCAGGCGGCACGTATTCTAAAGCAGATTTTATTAAAGGGGTCGGAGGTTTGAAAGAGTATGTATGGAACACTTCACTCCCTGAGCTGAAGGAGAAGTCGACACAGTTTCTCAATGACATAAGGCGACGAATGACAGACAACGTGAGATTGTCCACACTTAACAACGGGGATAAGGTTAGGGATCTAGAGAAAATGCTGGTAGAGATTGAAGAATACACAAAAATGATTCAAGACTTTGGTAGACCTGTCAAAGAGCTTAGCAAAATTTTACAAATGCTGGACGTTGCAGCCACTGAAATAAAGACAAAACTGAAGAAATATTCACAAGATGACGACATAAGACATCGTCCTGACAATGCTGCTGGGAACAGAGCTAAATTACAAGGAGATTTGTTTGGAAGGACATCAAGACATGAAAGCAACAAAGAAAATGACAACAACCAAACTGTTTTCGGGTCTAAAAGGTACTGGGGATCAAGTGATACAAATACGTCCCCTTACAGCCCACATAGTGTTAGTGGAGTGAAAGAACCTCACAGGGGATGGATGTCTAAGACGACGTTAAACTCAGACACACTGAAGAATCCTTTCGCTGGGGAAGCCCGACACGCTCACATTGAAAAGGGCTCCAATGCCATAGAAGAGAAGTGGCGAGAAATTCGTAATTCTTTTTTTAAATAAGACCAAGCTTTAATCTGGAATGAAATTTTGTGCACACTTTAATACTTTTTTTTCTTTATAGTTTACAATTTTCGGACTGAATAAAATTTAGAAACTTGTGCTAAAATTAATCACACGTCCTTATTGTGGTAATAACGGACATGTATCATGACAATGCTATAACGTATTGCAATTAGGGTGACACATGTCGTTTTAACTAAAAGGAAAAAAAATAACAAGTCTGAAGAAAAGGACCAGCAGCAATTTATAAACAAAATATAAATAAATACATTTCTTATTTTAAAAATTTAATAAAATGTTTTCACTTTCCATCGTATATTGTGTCATAAAACTGCACACAACCCCCCCCCCAAAAAAAAAAAAAAAAAAAAAAAAAAAAAAAAAAAAAACACACACCACCCCCCCCCCCCCAAAAAAAAAAAAAAAAAAAGTCACATTGAGTTAATCCCACAGTTAAGATGCTTTTTTAAAATTGTGCGTCACATGTCTGATGCTAATGAGTAAAAAATGTATAACCTTGAATATCTAGCCTCAACATTTAATCAGGCGATAGTCTAACTATATTTTTAAAGTCTTATCCCTGATATTTTCTTACAATGAAATCGTCACACCCCCTTCCCCCTCCCCATCGTTTCTACCTGATTTCACAATTCTGTTCAAGTAATCTGTTCATGTGTAGTCATTAAGCTGTTTAAAATATTAATAATTTATTAAGATCCAATAAATTTTATTTAAAAAAAATTAATACATAAAATAAAATATTGTTTTTCATTTTAGTTATAATTTATTATTTTGTATATCTATATTTTGAATACCTAAATAATGATTACTTTTCGGTAACATCATACTTTTTATATAATGGGATAAGCATATGATATCTTCAAAGTTAAGATTTCCAAACATGGTTTCTGATAATCCCACTTTATGGTAGAAGCCTCATGCGTATTTCAAATCGTCAGAAGTAGAAGTCTTATTAATTTAGATCAGATATAGTGACAGTTTTTTTCTCTTAAAATGAATTAGTTTTTCCTGTAATAATTGATTTTTACTATGAAATGTTTATTTAATAATTTGATAACTATAATTATAATTATTATTAATACTATTATTATTATTGCCATTAATATTATTTTTATTTAAATTTTTTTTTTCTGATTGGTATAATATATTGATTATTATAATTAAAAGTCATTATTATATAATATATATTATATTTTTGAAGTTTTTTTTACAAGAACACACATGCTATTGCTATTTTAAGTCAAACAGTAAAAGACAACAATTTTATTTAAGAATGACGTGTATAACATTACATTTAAGTTGTTTGTAATAAAAGCTGAAAACTTTTTCTTGTCAAACGTTGAATTCGTTTTTAATTTTTAGTTATCAGAGAATAATGACCCGAAGGTAATTTCAAGGGTTACAATTTTTTTGTAAAAAAGAAGACTTTATGTGTAGTCATGAAAATACAGTGTGTGCATAATATATTATCTATCTTCTATAATGCTTACGTAATATATCTAAATTGTTATTAATACCCAATAAAATCTTTAAACTGCATCTAATATTTCATGACTAATATTTGTCATAAAATAATAAAGCTTATATTGTGTAAATAATCATTAAATTGTGCATATTTCGAACTAGATATTTATTTTTTTAGATTAAAAAAATGAAAATATTTATTATAAGGTCAAGTTTTGTAAATCTGTTTTCAAAATTCTTCTGTGGAAATAAATATATTTTAACATGTTTGACGATATTCATCATCTGGTCTTCGTTTTTTTTAAAGTCATGCTGTGTGGTCATACTTTCTTGGAAAACGAGTGTGCCTGGAAAATGTATCGGGTTTTCCCGATATGTCACACTGGGATTTTGCCGCCGCCTGTGATACAAATCAACGTTTATGATTTGGTGCAAATGGGGGAAAAAAATGAAATTTTTCAAAACACCTTAATTTAGTTTGCCTTAATGGAAACAAAGTTGAATGTTACACAGTCAAGCTCTAGGGGAGCGGGGGGGGGGGGGGGGGGGTTGTAAATTAATATAAAATAGTAAGATCACAGTAATAGCTTGAATAACTATACGAGACAATCAATAGAATGTTACGGCTGTAAAGATTCCTCAGCTAACACAATGATTAATAAAAAAAAACCTTAAGATTCCAAAGAAAAAAAAACAACAAGTAAACTTGTTACTAATGTAGAAAGGGTTCATATAAAGTTGATAAAGTTATTTTTAAAGCCGGCACAAAATCGTCACCAAGGAATTATCTAAGAAGTTTTGTCAATGAGGACGGAAGAAAGCGCCAGCTTATCGGAATTTGAATAAAGAAATAAGATTATTGGAAATAAATTATTTGATTGATTCCAGTTTTTCATATCTTAGTTATTTGTTTGTATAAAATTGGAGAAATGAACTAAATTATTATGATTAGAGCTATTTTAAAAAAAAGATGGTATTGTAGAATGTTTGTAATTCCAAATAAAAACACAAAGGGAGTGCATTAAAATTAATTTTAAAAAAACAAATAATAATAATTTTTTTTCCAGTGGAATGACGATATTGGAAATTATAGATGCAACTACTATCAATTTGAATAATGATCATAAGAAAAGGAAGCGAACACATGGCAAATTACGTATTAAAAAAGTAGTCGGTTGGTTTCGGTCTTTCAGAACTCTCTGGATCAGAAGGAAAAGCTCCAAAGCCCCCCCCCCCCCCCCCCCCCCCCCCCCCCTTCAACCGTCTGCATTAGCAACATTTTGAAATAAGATATTTATTCTTTGATATAGTTGGATGCCCTAATTATTCCAATGCTAAAATCAAATTTGATAGATTAAGATAATCTGAGGACTTTAATGATTAAACAGATCGACTTTATTAACGCACGAAAAGATCATTCGAGTAAACTGGACAAGGTGAATAAACAGATACAATTATTCCCCGCCCCCCCCTCCCCCGCGTGGGATTTTGCCCGGCGAGAAAAATTGTGTAGTCTTGACAGAAATATTGCAAGGGGGTGTAAGACACTCAAAGCAGAAAGGAAAGTTGGGTGTGTGTGTGGGGGGGGGGTGGGGATCTGCTATAGTCATCGCAGTTAGACCGTGAATTTTGAGTACACATATATCACTATAGATATCATTCTTTTAAGTTTTGTTGATTAGTGTCCAATTGCTGCTTATTATATTGTCATAGTTGTTACAGAATGTTTGATTTTATAATAATTAGTATAAAGGGTTGACAGAACAGGTGCAGAGCATTTTCCTAACAAAAGAAAGCAGGGTTTAGTATCACTAGAGGTGCGATGGGCAGTGTCACAGGGCGATGGACAGTGTAAGAGGGTGATGGACAGTGTCAGAAGGGGATGGACAGTGTCAGAAGGGGATGGACAGTGTCAGAAGGGGATGGACAGTGTCAGAGGTTGATGGACAGTGTCAGAGAACATTGGACAGTGTCAGCGTGTGATGGACAGAGTCAGACGGTGATGGGCAGTGTCAGAGGGTGATGGGCAGAGTCAGAGGGCGATGGACAGTGTCTGAAAGGGATAGACAGTTTCAGAAGTCTATGGCAGTGTCATAGGTTGATGGACAGTGTCAGAGCTCGAGAATATCCAATGTTTAGGTTTATTTATATTATATTAGCATATTTATCGTTGGTGGGGGTCGCTACAAAAATAGTATGTACCCTTGGAGTAGAGTCTGTTATAATGTGAGCCTATGTTAAACTTTTCACTAAGTTTAGTTAAGGATCTTCAAATGAGGGCAACATTTTTAGCGAAAGGGAATTCCCTGTTTATAACTCATAGCAGGGGGGACGATTCAATTTGGTGAGATAATGGTCCTGCTAATCTTTGTTACTCCTCATATCTGCTCAGATTCACTTACCTTTTATTAAGGGGGGAGGTACACCCTGAATACAGGTCGACTACTAAAAAAATCACCAAAAAAAAACTATTTAAGTTACAAGTGTCAAATTTTCACTGAAGCTAGACGAATGATCACTCTACCATAATAACACATAAAATAACCATTAGTAGTGCAACATAATAGTTTACTAACATTGAAAAAAAAGAAAAATGGGATGCTGTAAAACAAAAAAAAAATTAGTTAGAATGTTTTAAGCTCAAATTTATTACAATTTTCTAACCGTGCAGAAATATGGATTAGCTTTGGCGACAACTAGGAAAAATGTAATTTATTGAATACTTTTTGTATCACAGCATCCCAAAGTATCTTAATTTTGACATTTTAAAATCAAACTTTGTAAAATGTGTACTTATTAATATATTGCAATATTCTTAGTTCCTGACATAGACCAGAATATAATATACCATCTTGCAAAATTTTAAACAAATTGGTTGATATTTTAAAAAGTTATCATTTTTATGTGAATTAAATGTCAAAATTTTGTGAATGAACGCGCAATAATTTTGTTCATTAAGTAAATAAATTTTATAATTTTAATGACCCTCCTGAAAGATAAGGATGCAATTTAGCTTCAACTTTTTACTCTTCTAACCCAAATTTAAGCCTTGATCATTGTATTAAACAATTATTTTGGAGGTCATCCTTGTTTTAATACAATTGAGATAAAAAAAAGTGTAAGGATTTTTTTTTTTTTTGTAAACTCTGATACACCCCCCTGCTAACAAAACATTCATATCTCAAGAACTATTTAACCTAAATTAAAAATAATTACATATAATTGTGCAGAATCGAATGCACTTTAATTTGATAGCAATGGTTACTGTTAAATCGAAAAAGGCTTTTTTCCATTTTTCACGGTATACCTGTAGGATAATGCAAAACACTTTAAAAAAAAAGAAAGTTTATAAATACAACCTAAACTATGAAGTACCGACTATTCTCATGGTTCACTGCATACGATTGGGAAATTGTTTCTGAATATTCGGTTAAAATATATTAAATTTGGTATGTAATATGTTTTTAATAAAAAATAAAAGCTTCTTTTACACTTTGATTTGCACAACATGTTGAAAATTTTGTCTTTTTTTTAGATGATTTCATTTTAAAATATATAATTTTTTTGTAATGTAAAACACTTAATTCGAAAATGGTGTGCATTTTTACTTGACTCTACACTAGTGGGAAAGGGGGAAAGGGGGAAAGGTAATTATGGGGCTCATTTAAGGTAGGCCCCAACCCTTGTGGAGGCTTTATATAACTATACAAATCCTTTTAAGGCCCACTTTCATCGCCATTCCCTCCAACTGTTGTTGAGTGAAGGGTCATCACGATCTTTTGTCCTTTAAGAGGTCTACCTCTGGGCGACTTTTGCTTTTAAAATTAAGGTTGAGTGATGCGGCATGATCCAATCAAATATGTTCTCGAAAATCATTGAAGCCACCTTATATACTATATTCCTTTATTGAGACCACCTTATATACTATATTCCTTTAATGAGACCACCTTATATACTATATTCCTTTATTGAGACCACCTTTTTTTTTTTTAATCATTCTAAGAAGTAGTTTTTAAAAAATGTAAAAATATACTTCACAAATAATAATGGACAATTTATTCTATGGTCACTAACGATAAATATAGATTTATGATTTATGTATGAAGTAGTAGTAAGTTCATTTGTGCAGGATTCATCCCACTACGTCTACTATGTTGAAAAATCGCCTACATTCGATGAAGTATGCATACTTCCGTCTAGCTTTAGTTTCCCAGAAAATGTTGACGCAGGTGACAGATGTTACGACAGATCGGGCAGAATGTCCTTACACTGCTCAAAATTAATAAGCGGAATAGATTTTGAAACTAAAATGTATGCATTTAACCTTTGGATGTTTATAAAATTTGATAGAAATCATTATTTAAAAACGCGAATTTTAAACAAAATTCTATACCTAATACTTCACTGCACCTTTTTTTTTTAATCTCTTATGAGTAAACTTGTAATATTCACTAACTACTTAAAACAAAATGTTGGTGAACGGTTGCCCAACTGTGAACTGTCAGAGCAGAAGCGAACTGGTTTCAGCCAGGATCTCCACGACGACGACC